AAGAGAAATATGGAACTTTAAATCTAGTTAAGACTATAAAAAGCATATTGAACGTATTAAGGTACAGTAATCAAACATCTGTGCGGAACTGAAAGCCTGAAACTAAGACGACTAAACACATAATATCCTCGTCTATCTCAAGTAAAAATCAGCACAATATCCTGTTCCTTTTACAAAATTATCAAATATTGCCTTTCTATACAAAAGAGAAAAAGGAAACATGTTACCAAAAAGAAACATGCTGTCATTTCCACAGTTCAATTCAAATACAATTAGTCTTAACCGTGTAAGTAGAAGAAAAAAGAAACGGTATTATCAGAGTATACGCCATCAAATTACGTAGCTACTTGGCATAAAGATTAGAACATCAAGAAATATGAATTATATTATTGTATTAGCCAATGCAACATAAACAAACTTACTCATGCAAAACCCATGAATTGATATATTTCGCATTCAAAGACATTATCCTTTCCTGTTGCTTGATCCAGTTGGGTTCAACAATTGCAATCTTCAACTCTTCAATGCCTAGGAGAAGTTTTGATAGCAGATAATGTCAAAAAAAAGAGAGAAGCCACACTCAGCTTAAGAGTTTCAAGTCCCATAAAGAAAATAAAACTATTAAGACACAACACTAACGAGTTTGGACAGAATTTAAACCACACTGTTCAAAAACAAGACTAAAAATCAAGAACTTTATTTTCTTTTCTGAATTACAAAGAAGCACATTTTCCCATATGACACATACTACTTGCTAAAAGTAATCTGAAGTACTTGAAGGTGCATCATTAATACTTGGATTACAAAGTACTAGTTCATCTTACTTATAACACTTAAGTCACAAATATTTTTAAAGTCACATATAGTATGATTACATAGTGTCCTCGCCATAAGACTATATAATGTATACACAACATGTAACCCTAAACCCTCTCTATCAGTGTCCTCACTTCATAGCTTAAACATCATCGAATGAGATCTGAGAGCTTGTATAGAACCAGAGTGAAAATTGACCAAACTTTTTCAGAAGGATCACATTAGTTTCAACAAGTGAACAGCAAGTTAAATAATCTACACGTAAAAAATCTGGTAGAATTTCATGAAAGAGAAGTCCCCCAAAAATACACTTGCAGCACTAATCCCACTAAATGAATGCAAAAACCAACAAAGAGAAAAAAGCTTGTTCGTAAAAGTGCACTGACCAGAAGTATTGGGTGCACTATCATCTTCAGTGGCATCCTTTGCTACAACACGAAGTTTTATCATGACAAATTCAACCTGAATGTAGTACAATAAACTGTACATATTCAATACAAAGTATAAATAGTAAATGGTGACATCCAATAGGAGAGTTTCAGGACTCACTTTTTGAAACCACTGACACTCTACATCAATGAGATCGTCAACTTCCCATTCAGAACTAAAGGTTCCAGGGCATTCAGATGTTGAACCACTGACTTTGAAGCAACTGGGAGAAAAGGTCAACCGAGGTTCTGTACAATAACTATCCCGATATATAACATAATCAGGATAAAGAACAACCGTCATATTTGTATTATCCTGCAAATTATGCAACAGTATAAAAGTCACAACTAAGAAAACCTTCTAATAGTGGATAAACAAAGTATTAAAAAATCTGCACCAAAAATAAAATTGGTATAGAACACTTATTTAGAAGGCAAGTAACATTGTGCACATGAAGAAGATATTTTTTTTCTTCTTTATTTTGTTGCATACACTTATTCAAAGCATAGATAGTGTCACCGAAACATGTTTTGATGGTGCATACTTCAGTCTTACTTCTGTGTTACCTCACAAAATTATTCTTTGTATTTGTGACATGAAAATAAAAAGTACCCATTACACTATTTAGAAAATCACACAGACAACCCCACTTTCTTTCTTGACAGTTATTTTGTTTAAACATCAACAAAAATAAAATACTTCTTTATTTTTCTGTTTTTACAACCCCAAATATGTAGTTTATGTAAGAAGCAATCTCACATGTATTGGACCGCTAATAAAAGAGAAAAGAGATTACCATTTCCAAATCACCAGAGCAATGATATGATTTATAAGAACCCAAAGAATCTGAAAGTGAACAACAAATGATGGTAAGAACACCTTGGTGCATGACAGAAATACCCAAGGAAGGCACAAACTAAGGATTAGCAATCCTCCAATTAACAAGGAAATACCGTCATCCTCTTCAATTTCAGAAGCAGGACTTGATGGAGAGTCACTTGTGCTTTCATCAGCATCTAAAATCATATCAGTTGGCTCATTCTGAGAAAAAAAAGAACACAACAACAAAATTTAGAAAGCATAATTTTGATTGTTAATCTCTCCTTTAAGGATATACTTCAGCAGATAAATGACAGTTGACATACACTGGACAGAGACACTGCAAGGGCAAAGTGTAACTGGCTTTCCCAAGACGATGATGACGTAGCATTTGAACCTCTTCTCTCTGGCTCAGAAACAAAACTTCTGGATCCATGACTATCTAATTTGGAATCAGATTGTTGTTCATGACTCAAACATTTGAATTGTGGTGCAGCATCCAATTCCATATACTCTTTCTTGGTAGCCAGGCTCTCTTCAATTGTTCCTATGGGGGAATGTGAAATAGCATTATCACACAATGATCACGGTCAACTGAATCAACATTTACGCAAGGGATGCTGCTGATATCTTTTGTTTGAAGTTTGGCTCCCTGGGCAACTAGAAAAATATTTAGATGAATTAGCATAGTTTATACAAAGACACTGATGATATAGATCAACCATCTTTAGTTTTCAGCTGACAGAGAAAAAGAAAAATAAACGCTGACAACCACTTTGTTCGTTAAAGGGTGCTTTAGGGAGATACAAATGTGCAGTACAATCCAACTGATGACCAGTTGCAGACATTTTGTTCAAAAGGGGTTCATAGTCCCGTATTTTCTAAATACTCTTCCAATCTCAAACTGGGATTCCCCAGTTGAGATTGAGGGGGAGTGTTGACAGATGTCAGAAGATTAGTGGCTTGATTATTACATCAAGCAAAACTGGAAGAATCAACACATAAATCAGCATTTACAAAAAGGTGAGAAACCGTTGTAAACAAGGGACTGGAATGCAGATTTGACATACAGACAGACCTGACAACAATGTTACTTATTTACCACATTATGCAAATACACAACTGTAAGTAGCCTACTGCATGCAAACTGATTACTAAGCTAGTTTGGGGTTGCTGTGCTGTGAAATAGAACGCTGTTTTCAGAAGCAGGGGTAGAGCTGCTTCTGCTTTCTGCTGTTTTGGACCCATGATTTTGACAAAAAGCACTCTTTTTTCATTTACCAAACACAATTTTAGCCCCAGCTTTTTTAAAAAGCTGCTTTTAAAATAATTTCAGCAATGCCAAGCCAGCCCTAACTGTCAAACGTTACCATATATGATACTAGGATTATAGGGAGATCCATCTGTAATTACCTAGTTCTTTCAAACATATATCCAACTTCGCCAAACAATCTCCACCCCTTTCTACGATATGATCAACCTTAACTTACAGATTAAACAATGCGGTAACTCAGAAATCAACCACCATATTATCAAAATTTTCAACATTCATATGAAGATGATTTTAAGTATGAGATAGTAAATTGTATACATATCCCAACATTTTAGCACAAATAAACCTGTGAGAATAATTAACCAGAAACTCAAAAAAAAACTTCTTAATCCTACAAAACTATTAGCTTATCGACAAAGATCGAATCCAAACAGGCCAAATTTCCATCGTGGCTCAAACCTTACTAAGTAACAATTTCCAAACGATGAATTATCATAGCAGCAAGTTCCAAAGTTGTAATTCGAAGCATTAACATAAAAATTCCGACAAAATTATTGAACTTTCATTCATTTCACACCAGATTATTTTCCCACGGATTCTCGGGAACCAGACACAGAAATGTAGCTTACTAATTTCAGACATTACAGAAAGCAAACGTACCATTCTGGAGAAAATCGCACTTGAAAATCCGATTGGTATCGAGGCTAGGGTTTTTGAACCTCCCCAATACTTCCCCTGGACCGATTCCGAGTGCTCGTCCTCCTCGCTGAAGTCGAAGACTTCGAGGCCGCTAGTCTTCATCGCGAAGGTAACGGGTTTGGAGTGGAAACTCGGGCGAGTCAAATTGACTCAGCGAGTGAGCATAGACGGGGTTGTGAAGCTGGGTCAAATCGGAGAGAGAAAGCAGAGTGTGTGAGAGCCGAAGACGAGGGGAGGGGGTTTTTTTCCACGATGAAGCGTGTTGCTTTAAATTTGTAGTTCACCCAATCAGGGACAATTTCCTTCTCTTTTCCTTTTTCTTTTTTGATTTTCGGGTTTGCTCAAGATTTTTTTATGAAAAATCATTTCTTATCAATAAAGAATAAGAAAGTCAATAAATACTTAATTATTAAATTAATCATTACCAACATCATTTAATTTGTAAAATTTATTTTAAAATTTTAGTTTCCTATCATTACCCAAAGTTAAAATAAATGAATATTTTTTACTCATCACTATCTACTATGTTAAATGAGTTTAATTTTTGAGATTTATACAGTGGATAGACATAAATCCCAAAAATAATTTATTCCATTTTGGTTGCATGCACTTTTAATTAAGTAGTTTGGTAGGCGATTGTGAACATTGGTGGTATGAACATAAGCTTAACGTTTTGCTTCGTATGAATTTATGAGATTATGAACTTTGATATGAAATTAGAAACAAAAGTAAAATATTTCACACGCACTTAATCCCAACAGGATCCTTTTGGTGAGAATTATGGAATCCGTAAATTTTATCCGCTTATCCGCTTATTTACATCGTGCGATCAATTTGTATCAAATACTGTATGTTTAATTTTAATTAAAAATATTTAAAATAATTTCTCACCGCATGATATTAAAATGAGCGGACAAAATTGATGGTGCCCGAGAACCTCACAAAGAGGATCCGGATTCCACTTAATCAAACCGTAAGCCTTAATACACCTTCCCTTATCAGTTTTCTCGCGTTAAAATTAGATCCGATTCACAGTCCTCGTTGACGACGGTGAGCTTCTCCACCGCCCTCCCTTCCCCCTCAACCAAAACCCGCAATCAATGGTGAAACTTTAGGTCTTCGATCAAAATCAAACCAACCCATGAAGCTTCACAAAGACTACTATGGCTACTACTACCCCAACCAGTCTCAGAGAGCCGCTTTAGCCGGCCTTTTGGTGGTCCTCTTTCCGGCCTTCCTGCCAAACCTCTTTGGCCCATTGGGCCACGCCTCTCCTTCCATCTTCTCGGTAAGTTCCTTCCCAGCAAACCACTCCCACAGGTTTGAAGTTTTTGTTAATGGAAATGCGTAATTTTGTTGAATAATTATTAAACTGAAATGGGTTTTTTCTGCAGGAGTGGAATGCCCCGCAACCCCGGCATTCGCGCCTTCTAAGTCCGGCTTTACTTCTTCAATCTGTCAGTTCCTTTTCCTTCTTTTTTTTTTTTTTTGTGCCTTTGATTTGATGTTTGCTTATGAACAATTGATCTGATTACATGTATTTGCATGTTGGTTTTGAATTTGTGTAGTCTGTGGATCAACAGAGCAAGCTTTGGGCTCCGTTGCCCGACCAAGGATGGAAGCATTGTCCTGAAGAGCCTAGAAGTTTATCATGTGAGTATTAAAGATAAGGCCATATTATATGTTACATTGTATTGATTGTTATCTGATGTACTACCGTTCATTTTCTTGCAGCGTCGCCAAAAGAATCTACTGGGTATATTCAGGTGTTCCTTGATGGAGGCTTGAACCAGCAGAAAATGGGGGTGAGTTTTAATAAGTTTATGAGGAAAGTCTTGCTATTACATGTAATTCTATAGTCAGATGGGTGTACAAAATGAGATTATCTAATTTAATTTATTTGGTCTTTTTTTTTTTCATAAAAAAGATTTGTGATGCAGTTGCTGTTGCTAAAATTTTGAATGCCACCTTGGTTATTCCACACCTTGAAGTTAATCCTGTGTGGCAAGATTCGAGGTATATAGTGGGTATGCTAACCTGGAACCATCCCTAGAAATTATTATTTTTATCCAAAGGGGAGCCATTGATGTGAAACTCCTTGTGCTTTTGCAGTTCCTTTGAGGACATTTTTGATGTGGGTCACTTTATTGAAGCCCTACAGGGTGAAGTTTCTATAGTTAAAGCCCTTCCTATTGAATTTTCTTGGAGCACTAGGGAGTATTATGCTACTGGCATACGGATTACAAGAATAAAAACAGCACCTGTTCATGCTTCTTCTGATTGGTATCTGGAAAACGTCCTGCCCATATTGCAGAGGTCAGTAAATGCTTTGACCCTTTATTGAGAGCTAAGTTGTATCGTATACCATTGCCCGTATCATATATGTTGTAGGTCCTAAAGTTTAGATTCCATCTTGTATTGGATCATGCTGTGTACGTTTCTTAAATTTTTTATTGTGATAGCTTCTGTTATAAACTTGGACATAAGTTGTCATCTCTTTACTGGGGTAAATAGCAGAAAGAAGCTGTCATAACAAGGAAAGTTTTGGCATAGTAATATTATGATGTTAGGGACATAACTTTGGGAAATTGGTTGTTTGGCTAATGTGTATCGTATATATTTATAGCTTAGTAGTGCACCACAGAAATACTTCTGTCTCTGCACGTCAAGGCATTGGGTTTTCAAGCTTTATTATGTCTTGGGATTTCAATAAATAACCTTGGAGGGATCGAGCCAATGTTTTAAAAATTTCAATACCATAAGCGGAATTCACTTCTATTCATTATATACCAGCCGATGAGCACACACTTTGTGTGTGAACAATTTCATTTTATTTTTTGTTTTTTTTATTAAGGAGTGTGATTAGTTTTTAAAATTTTAAAAAAAAGTATGAAAAAATGATGGTGGGACAATTTCTCTTAATAAGTGCATATTTTATCTTAATATTACATAATTACTGTTTTGTCCTCCTTATATAAATATTGTGTATAAAAAATAAGGGTAAAATAGGAAAAATAGGGATATGATTGTCATTTTCTCAAAAGATACAAAATTACTATTTTGCCCTCCTTGTAAGTATTGTGTATCAAAAGTGAGGGCAAAATAGGCAAAAAGGGGCAAAAGATACAAAATTACTATTTTGCCCTCCTTATGTAAGTATTGTGTATCAAAAGTGAGGGCAAAATAGGAAAAAAAGTTGACAAGGAAGGTTCTCTTAATAATAGTATAGATGTTTGCACCTTCAGAAGGGATCTCGAAGGGAAGGTATATTAAATTACAGAAATTGATTACCGTGTACTTTCTTGCTGCTCCAAGGCAAGAAAGATGAAGGAACTACTTCAAGACAGTCATTTGTGGACGGAAAGAGCACGGTTTTCTAGGTCTAACTGTAAGCCAGAAATATCCTTTGGTATTATGTTAGAGTGTCTTTTCTGGGCACAACTTGAGCTACCAATCTGAAGCACATGCATATGATTCACTACAATAGGTTGCTTTTTGGGACCTAAATTTTAACCAAATATCTTTTCATGACTTAAAAGGTGTTTCACTGCCACAGATATGGAGTTGCTGCTATCTCCCCATTTTCTCATCGTTTGGCTTTTGAAAACTTGCCTCCAAGCATACAGCACCTACGTTGTAAAGTCAACTTTGAAGCTTTAGCCTTTGTTCCTCATATCAGGAAATTGGGAGAAACCCTTGTTAATCGTCTCCGCTATCCGAATAGAAACCAAAAGGCAGGTACTGGCTCGCAGACAAAGCCAAAAATGAGAAAACAGGGAGCGGAAATATGTTGTTTGATCATACGCTACAATAAAAGTATCTTCTTATTAGCTTATAATCCTGACTGTTTTAATCCTGTAATCGTTTCAAAAGCTATTGACTACTTTTAAGTGTTTGAAAATATGTGCCCAAAAAAATAATTTTGAGAAAATCTTAAAGCTAGTACACCTAGAATTCTTATAATAATCCCCCCCCCGCGGACCTTAGCTGCCTATTCTCTCCACATCCACCTCTAATGCATGCATACACACAGGATATGCTGCCCATTCAGCCTATGATTTTTGGTGTAAAGCTGAGAAACTTCCCTGAAAATATCGGCAGTAATCGGCAGGTAGGTCTAAAATCCAGTTACAGACGAGAGTAAAAACAGGGGCGTATTTGGCCCATGACTCCTATGAAAAGAGTTGATTGTTGCTGCCGTTCTTTTGCCATTCATATCGTACTGAGACTTCTATCTTGCTTCTCAGCAAGTTGTCTAAACAGGAATGTCTTGCTTTAATTAGGGGCTAATGCCAAAGGGAGATCGTTTGATGATTTTTTCTATTTAAAAATATAAATAAAAATATACTTGTATAGATAGAAAAAAGAAAAACCATAGAGAGGGTTACAGAAGAGTAATATTCAGACAATCTTTGTTTAGAATATTCCTCTATACTCGCGCTCATATTCATTTCCCTCCTCTTCATAGAAACAAATTGGAAATGTGAACAACGATGCCCTACACAACGCACCTATACATCCGGATTCCTTAAGTTACACCCTTCTCACTAAATACTGTGAACATTGCATGCACGTCAATCTAGATATTGCTTTCACACTGTAGACAAAAACAATTATACACTCTCATTTTCATTTTTTTACCAGAGAATGAGTTTTACGGTTGTGAGTAGAAAGCAAGGATTCCTCACTTGAGGAGGATATTTCCATGAGTTTACTGGGTTGCTGATGATTGCAATCGGCAGGCCGCCTATGCCTGCAATGCGAGCATGAAATGTCACAAAGTAGAAGCACTATGACAACATATCGTGTCTGCCGACTGGAAGAATTTGTCTATTAACGTGAGCATCCTCGACACAACTGTACATTCTCGGATCTGCTAATCTACCCGAAAAATATGCATCAATCACGTAAGCATATCGAGTCAGTACTTGGTAAATATTTGTCTTCTTTAAGATGCGGTGAAGTAGGTTGCCGTATTCATCAGCGCTCGTCACCATCAGCTGCCTTGTATATATATTCTAGGCAATATTTATTTGTGCACATTACTTTATTAAAGAAACCCAAATGTCAACTAGATAGGTAATTGGTGTTTCCTTTACAAAGTGATTCAAATAATATGCACAAATTTCTGGACCTGTAATCACAGAGGAAGTAATCTTTGTTCTTGCAGTGGGCCAGCCGGCAATCATTCATCTTATAACCTTTGGTGCACCAAACAGCACTATATTGAGGCACCGATTCTATAAGCGATGTTTGTGGCGCGCAATAGCGTGTTTCTTAGTCTGAGATAAGAGCTAAGAGATAATAACTCAGTTTCTCATAGTTTTCACACCGACAACATGCGGTGCATACTCGTGGCAACGGACTACTCACCAAATGAGTCAAAGCTAAATCATGCTACGGTTCGGCTAAACATCTAAAAGAGCAACAGTATATATCCATGACAATTTTGGGCAAGATATAAAGCCTGATGTGATGAAGCTGAGGAAAAGCTATCTATCATCCGGCCAGAAATATCTATAATAACAACTAAAATCGCCTTGCTCACGACTCTTTATTACCAATTCGAGTCGATCGGTATTCTGTTAATTATAGATATTCTATTGTAGGCAGAATCGGTATAACAGCTAACACCCCACTTCTAATAGCAATCACTGCTTATTAGCTATTTCCACTTATGCACACGGTAACAATAATATAAATGTACAGGTGAGCATGACATTCTATGTAATAACTGTTATTCTTAAATTTCGCATGGGGCAAACCATTTGTTTCTCACCAGACTCAGATACTCACACCGAGCGAAACAGAAAATTAGTCCATTGCAGAACCGACGACTACCAGAGCGAGACTGTTCCACTTCGAGAGTATACAGGTGTGAGTATTTTATATAGGATAACTTAGACGAGTTAAGCTATTTAGAATATGGGCGCTTCTACACACGCTCCCCTATACGCAATGCAACAATGCTGCATATGCGATGTCAAGCCCCGATCATGTAGAATAAGCAAAAGAATGCCAGTATGCGTTATCTTAATTCATGGACAACGACGTCAGACTGTTTACAAGTTCGATAGCGCTTATTTATGTATTATTACAAACGACCACGTGATATGCAGACAAGTTTCATAACCAAACATATTATATTTAGTACTCGGAAATTGATTAGCACTTCAACTAATAACAACAAGTCTGGTGGCTTCATAAAAAACATGAGTTCCTTACTAATACTCAGAAATTTCAGTGTACTGAAGCACTTCTTGGTGCAGTTTTATAGACAAAAAGGATGTAAACTGAATTTAACGTATAATAAAATAATGGCGACCACAAAGCCATATAAGGGGGCTTAGTTGCAAGTGTCACATTGATTCAATTGAGAGATGCTCGATACGAACAAAAAAAGAGAAAGCCAGAGCCTTTAAACAAGTGTTTATACAAGGATCTGTCCATATCAACAAAATAACCTTTACGAACTTAACAGGACAAACCGACAGTAGGTCCGACCGCCCGAATTCTGTGTCTTCGAGACTTACCCTATAAATGTGAATCCCAGCAACTATTTCCATCTGTATGGAGAAACTCTAAAAACAAACCGCAGGTTCATCAAAAGTGGTAAACCCAGAGACCATAGTGAAAGAAAGGCAATTGTTAGCTTTACTAACCAAAAGGTTCTATGTGTGAAAGTATTAGAAAATCTAACTAACGTTGAAATCATACTTAAAAATCGAATCATTGAAAGAATTACTGACTTATAGACACCTGCAAATACAAAAGGCACCTATATCAGAGTGTTTTGTTTAAAACAAGCAGTGAACGTTACACTATATATTTCCCAGTCAATAGTTGCACAGAATGACGTTACGAGATGATAAAACAACTAGATTATAACAAATATATCTCTCACTTCTGAGTATTAAGCTATTCGGCGAACACTTGATAAATACTCGTGGAAGTGGGTACAGAGTCATGGGGATTTGTAGGGTATGGCAATCTCATGTATATTATCAAGTGCAATATGTATCAGTCCTTGAACCGCCTGCATATGACCGGAATTCAGAACATAAGGCCACTTCAATCTCATTGAGATCCACCACACCTCGCCCATCCTCGAGCACCTTAGTATATTATCCCAAATAGACCAGAACGTTTCCATCTAGGGTTTATATATTCTTGTCATGTTAAATCCCCACCAAACCCCCCAGCCATCTTTCAGCAATCTACAAATGACAATCCGGAAACCCTCGCTTCACTACTAATCCATGAATACCAGATAAAAGCACACACGAATTGTTAAACTTCACAAACTCTTATGTCACGAAATTCGTTCATTCACCAAGCTCAGATATTTAAGCCACAATACCTTTTACCATTTTAGCAACGCAGAATATGATACTATGAATTTTAAGAGATTATCATTATTGACCGCACTCACATTTTAGATAACTTACAATACATTAAAGCTACGGCACAAAAATCATGGTCTATATTATTCTTGCAACGCACTTATTTAAAACCTCATGCACCAGCGCTAAGGATAGTGTAGCATAAGAGAGGCAAATCTCATGAGCCGCTATTGAGCTTTCAAGTCTATGCTCATATTCAGTCCCACTGACGAAAGTTATTACTTAAAATTAACAACAATGAACAAATCACATTCTTCACGAAGTTTCCGTACAAGGATAAAGTACAACATTATCTTTCGCCGGATGCCTCCCTTTGCAAGACGCTAACCTATACCTCCATTTTAGAATGCCCTTAACCCTTCGCCCCCCCCCACCTCAGCTCGCCCACTCCCGTCCTCCTCAAATCAACTCACACCATACAGAGACCAAGCCAAGAGCTCGTTCAGAAGTATCACCCACTATAATCAAATGGACCTCTACGTGAATAATCCTTGGAAAGAAAATATAGAAATATGAAGTGTAGCAAAAAAGATAGAGACAAAAGAAGATACTCCCAGAGCAAGCCCTAGAACACAAACTAATCCGGACTATCAAGCGTGGGCAAAACGAAAAAAGCCAACCGCCGGAAGCCTTGTAGCTGTCGAAGGGCCAGATGCACACGCTCACATACCGCACAAATCATATAAACTCGAAGAAACGCGACATAACAAATGTTCATTAATGGTGCTCGACTTCCCATGAAGCTGTCATATAGAGAGATGAGTGGAATTTAGGCAAAAGGAAAATCATAAAAGATGAACTTGAGATTGACACCAATAGAATAAATACCATTTATTCAAAACCATGTAGTAAGTTATGCCGTAATCGCATACTGAGTGAATTAAACATCTTTTACACTTTCCAAGAGGCACACATTTGTTTACATTAAATAAAAAGACATAACGAATTTTTACATTTTGTCCCTCTCCGCCTTCTGTGCAAAAGGGTTCTCTTGAACCTCTCAACTCTTCCCTACATCGTTTACAGAAAAAAATGTCAAGAACAAGACTCTTATTACTCGCCACCACTCCGACATTTATGCACATTTCTAGAAGTCCGACTAAGGATCGCGGCCGGGAAATGGTCCATTCAAAATCACAAATTAGGGCAAAAATCGATACTGGATGTCAGTGCATCAAATTCAAGAGCTAGAGAAAGATAAATCTAAAAGTTTCACAACAAAACCCTCAGGTATATAATAAATTATAAAAGAAAGTCAACTCATTATAAATACGATTCATTACGTGACCGAAAGAAAATTTATACCTAACTAACACGTTCAGAAACGTATACAACTGAGAGATAGCACAGGAGAATAATAATGATTAATACCTCCACAAACTACAAAACGAGGAGGAGGAACTGACTCGCTAAATATAACGGCCACAGCGACGGCCTCCGCACAACACAAAATACACACTCAACATGCATCTTCGTGCATAGTCATG